GGCAGCCCATGGCACTTTCAATATTCTCCTCCAATACCATCACTGAAAAGCATCAATTCTTCTACAGTCTTCCTCAATCACTGTCCAGCTTTCACATATCTTCCTGATATGTTGTTGTTAAGTATTATTGAGTTGGTTCTGATTCATTACAACCCTGTATAGGGTTTCCTGGGAGTAACTGGGGGGTTTAAACCACCAACCTTGCAGTTAGCAGTCCAATGATTACCCTATAGCTCCACACCAGGACACCACTTCCTGATGGGTGTTCCCAAATAGGTTCCCTGTGCCATCCATTACCAGGCATCAGGCTGGAGAAATGAAAGCTGAGATCCAACCAGGGCCTAGGTGTTACTGCCGCAACCTGGGACTGGTCCCACAGGGCTCAGCAGTCCAAATGAAGGTGAGCTGCCTCCCCAACTGCTCACTCAGCAAATCTACACCTGTATATCGACAACTCCCATACCCTACTCCCTAGGCACCCGCCTCCCACTGCGCTGACGCTATTATAGGCTATTCAATGCTTCCCACAGGCCCATTCGACCTTCCATGTAGCCCTACTCCTTCAGAGGGCAGGGACAGGCCCTAAGGTCTTCTGAGGCTGGTCTGCAGAGCACATGCAGGAAAGTGACAGATCTACTGGTAGCACCTGGCATGGAGCAGGCAGAGGGGCCTCTGGAGTTTCAAAGTCCGCAGCAAAACAGAATTCCTGTTGGACAGATAGGGCATCAGGCTGAGAGCCAAGGGGAGAAGTAAACACAAGAAACACCAAGATGCTACAAAACCAGCTAATTCTTCTGAGCCTTGACGTCCCTCATCAATACAAGAGGGAGGTGAAGATGTCGGAGGACAATTTTTACTCTAAAATGCTGATTCATTTCTAGAATTGCAGAGAGGCAGAAAAGGAGGCCCTGGGTGGGACAAATTGTTAACACACTCAGTTGCTAACCAATAATACAAGTCTGCCCAAAAACCTCTTGGAAGAAAGGTCTAACGGTCAACCTAAACAAAATCAGTCATTGAAAACCCTGTAAACATACTTCTACTTTGACCCACCTGGGGTCTCAGTGAGTCAGAATCAACTAGAAGGCACCTGGTTAGTTGAGTGGTGAAAGAAGCCAACACCTAAGCCCTTTCTTCTACTATTCTCCCTTCCAGCCCTTTAACACAGAAGAAACTGAGTAAGACTTTGGGGAGGAGGCAGAGTTTATACCCTGCCCCCCAATCTTGAATGAGGGTACTATCCTACTCCCCAATGTCAAAACTTATTTTGCAGGAGTGGACTTGGCAACACACATTTCAGACCCAAAAGCCAGTGGCTTTTGACACCTAAACCAAAGTTACCTAAAATAGGAGATCCAGCCATTAGATTAGAACCTTTTGACCCAGTTTAGGACCAGATCCTGTGTACAGGGTGCTGCATGGTGAAAGGCGCTGTCTCCTCACCCATTCTAAGCTAGGATCCTTTGGTTAGCTAGTTCTTCTCCTCAAATCTCTTCACCCACCCCAGACCTTTGCAGACTTCTGCTGGAGCTCTCTGCAGTGAACAAAGATCCCAGCTGGGAACTCAGGAATCAGCATTCAAGTCGCAGCCTCATCCATCTCTGAGGTTTCTATGCTGCTCAGATGTGAAGGAGGGGGACAGCCATAGTTAACACAATTGCCCCCTCTTTCCCCTTCCCCAGGAAATGTGTCTCTGGGGAAGAGGACAAGGCAAACACTTCCCTGCAGACAGCAGAACACCGTCAACAGCCAGCAGTGTTTGTATCTGCCCAGTGTCTGGGACTGGGATGCACAGCCTGGCTCCTGGGGGCCTGCCAGGCGGACTTACTGTCAGGCACTGTTTGCCTTTCGGGCAATGGGTGCCCTGGGATGGAGAGGGAAAGAAGAGGTTTCAGTGGGGTCAGGAGCAGGGTGCAGCACCAGATCAGAAGCCAGCCTTGGTACACAGCCCTAGCCAGGGTTACTGGTGTTAACTGTCTGCCCAACTCTGGGTTTCAGGCTCAGATGACAGAACTTTTCCTTGGTTCTAAACCAACCCCTCCAAACCACTGTCCTGTCCCTCCCAGGTCCACTGGGGCCCAGATCACTTCTCAAGGCTCTTCACCCTCCTGCTTCCGCATACACACCCTGTCCCCCACATCCATGTTGCCCTCCCCTCCCCACCCCGCCACCCCATCTGAGGAAAGCTGAGAACCTGCCTCCCGGGGTGCAGAGCTGGTCTCCACTCATATTATAGGTCACTGGGTATACAAAGTCTGGTCTTCCTCCAAACTACAGCCTTTGGCTGGCGTTGACCCCTCAGGCCTAGCTCTTCAACCAGACTGTCATCTGACTACCCACGCCAAATAACTGCCCACCCATCAGCTGCTTTCTAACTGAATTGGGTCTGGACCTAGGCTTCACATCAACAACAAAGCAAGGCCTCTTGGACCGACCTTGCCATTGTTGGATGAGGGTTTGGATTCCTAGAGCTCCAAGTACTGGTCCAGCTTCAAAGTGCCACGAACTTAGGGAGAGGGCCTTAACCCCATAAAACCCACTGCCACTGAGTTCTTCTGACTCATAGCAACCCTCTAGGATAGAACCACCCATAGTTCCCAAGGTTGGAAACCCTTGCAGAAATACACCGCCTCATCTCTTTCCTATGGAATCCCTAGTTAGCTACTAGTGCCAAACTTCCCATTAGTAGCTAAGTTCTCAACCAGTATATCACCAAGGCCTTTTAAGAGGGTCTTTGTTGTTGTTGTTGCTAAGTGCTGGCCGGAAGCCCTCCTCAACAGTAGGATGGATTTGATATCACAGAAATGCAACAAGAAGGATTTGAGCCTTTAGCAGAGGCAATTCAAACCACCAGCTAAATAGGGTTCTATTGAAGCACTTACACCCCACTCTGCACAAACATGGCACTTTGGGGAATGTATCACACTTTAAAAGTGTCTACGTTTTTGCATGTACTAGTACATACACAATTTGAGGTTCATGCATACATACTTTAGGGAATATATACACTTTGGGGGTATACACATTTGGGATGGATATGACACTTTGTGTAGACAGTGTCCTTTGTGGGCAGGTCTTTGCTAAGAGCCTTCTGTGAAATGTTAATATGAGTCACTCTGGGAAGACAAAGTTCTGGGGTTAAGAGCACAGACCCTGAAACCAAAAACTGCTGGATGCAAATAGACAAATTTGAGATTCAGTTCCTTCACCTATAAAATGGGTCCCCATTAGTAAGATGGCTTACTCATGTTCCCTATGATTCTTATTTGCCCTTTAATGTTATGTAAATTTGCCCTCAGTTTGAAATTCATGAACCATTCACAACAAATTCTTTATCACAATCACCTCCATTGTAGCTTGTGCAGCTTTTAAATCAAGGAAAAGGCTTTCAGCCCTTTCTCACACTAAAGTAAGGTGAAATAAGAACCATATACACCTGTCCTGACTTACGTACAAATTCAACTTAAAGGCACACTTAGGAAGAGATCTTGTTGTAACCCAGTTGGTTAACTCTGTATGTACTTAACTGCACAGAGAGTTCTTAGAAAGATTAAATGAGATAGTGCATGCCAGGGGTTCACTACAGTGCCTAGCACAAAAGAAACACTTGGTCAAGGTACCATTGTTACTCTGACTGTTAAAGGTGAATATTTTATGATGTACATCTTTTTGGTTGTTCAATTTTTTTAATTAAAAGATAGATACATGAAATCAGATGCTCCTAGAGTCTAAAAGTGTTTGAAGACTCAGATAGCAGACAGGACCGTTTGATTGATATTTATTTCACATTTGATCTGTAAACTTTTTTATTTGGAAAAAAAAAAGTCCACCGCCAGTAGCAACATATGCTAACATTAGATTTTCTTTAGTCAAAGAAAAGCCAGCGCCTTCAAGAGTCTCGTAGAAAGAAAAGCAGATGTAAACACAGGTCTCCACCCTCCTACCCTGCCTTTGGGAGTTCGTCAATGACTTGATCTCAACCAGAAAAGCAGGGGATAAAAAAAAAGACAACACGTTTGATACCTAAGAGCTCTTGGGGCAGGAACTGTACAGTTTGGCAGGCCCATTTGTCTTTTCAAACTGTTTACCTTCGGCAAATTACATCAGGTTTGTTTCTTCCACATAATTTCCACTCTTGTGTCTAAAAACAGCAGCTCAAAGATTTCCCCATAGTCAGCGCTTTCGGGGAGGGAGTGTGCACAGACATACAAGATAGAAACATACAGATTTATCAAGCAATGGCCCCGGAGCAAGGGAGGGGGCACCGGAAGGAGACGCTTTAAAGTAAGTTACTGGTGTGAGCTGTGCGTCGGAGAATGGTTTTATGCGCAGGACCCATGCGAGGCGGACAGGTTCATTTACTTCTGTCTTGATCCATCATTATAATATGTACATAGCAAAAGGCAATTATGCTATTAGGCACAGGAAAAAATGGGCAGAGGTCCCCCATCCCCCCTTTACGAAATCTCAAAGCAGGTCCAGCTCCAAGAGACAGTCACCACCAGTTGTTGGCGGCAAAGGACAGAGGGACTGAAATGACACTAGAAACGGGTTTGCATTGCAAAGAGCCTCGGTCTGACCTGAAGCGCTGTGCCTGCCTCGAGGGCATCTCCAACAGCCAGGATTCCAACGCTGAAACCAAAGCCAACTGGCGTAGGGGACGCGTGTACTATCAAAAATAGTGCATATTTACAGTGGGGGTGAGAAGGGCGGGCAGGGCTGCTCTGAGCATTTGTTAAAAAATAGAAAGGGGAGGACAATTAACGAGGGCCTGGCAACCCCCACCCATGAACCCTTTGTGAACAATCGCCGTCTGGGTTCCTGTGCGGCTCAGAAAGGCCAGGAGAGCTGGATTGGGGGCCGGGGAATGAAATACCTTTGGGAAACAATACTGATTTGGGACGACCCAAGACGCTTCGGGTCTAGAGCGGCCCTAACAACTGGGGAACGGGGGAGGGGGGGCCTGGGGTTGGGGTAGGGCGCGTTGGCCCTCCCAGCCAGAACTTCTCCCTGGTTGGGTAGAGCATATGCCTGCAGGAGGCAGCAGAGTAAACCCCCAGGGCAACAAACGCAGAAGCCGGGTTCAGAATGCCCAGGCTATGTAGGCGCACCCCCGGGTCTCCGCTTCCTGCCATTGGCATGAGTCTGTGCGCCGGCGGTCTGCCGGGAGCTCACACGATACGCTTCCTGTCCCCGCGACACAGGATCTTCTTGAAAGCGCGGCGAAAGTCGTGGTTGAAGATGGTGTAGATGACTGGGTTCAACGAGCTGTTACAATAGCCAAACCAGAAGAAGAACTTGAAGAGCGTGAGCGGCACACGGCAGCCGACGGCCGTGAGCGTGTACGTGAAAAAGAAGGGAAACCAGCACACCACGAATACGCCGATGACCACGGCCAGAACAAAGGTGAAGCGTTTCTCGCGATTCTGCCGACCGCGCCAGCGCGACGCCTTAGAGCCCCCGCCGCGCTCGTCCCCGGGCCCTGCCGCCGGCGTCCCGAGCCCTGCCACCCCCGTCCCGCGCCGAGGCAGGCTGTCCCCAGGCTTCACCTGGCTCGCTCGGGCCTTGCCCTTGGCCCGGGGCCCCCGATCGGGCCTGCGGAGGCCCGGGGGCCGTTCAGCGTGCTCGGACGACGAGCTCTCCTCCAGGTCCAGCGCGTCTGCATCGTGCGGCCCGGCTGGCGAGGGATCCCCCGGGGCGCCGTTGAGCTGGGTGGGCAGCGGTTCGATCTCTGCACCCGTGGGACCCGCGCCACGCTCTGGACCCAGGCCATTGGGCCTGCGCTCCGTGCCCCCCGGCGGCACGGCGGTGGCGTCTGGACCCCGGCGGCTGGGTGGCACGCGGGTGCGGCGCTTGGCAATCTGGTAGATGCGCACGTAGACAAGGATCATGATAAGGCAGGGCGCGAAGAAGGAACCGATGCACGACGAGATGACGTACCACTTCTGGTCGTTGATCTCGCAGCGTGGCTCAGCAGGCTGCGGGCCGCTACCGGCGCCTTTCTTCTCTATAGAGATGAGCGGTGGGAAGGAGATGACGGCCGAGATAACCCACACGGTAACAATGATGGCCTTGATGCGGCGCGGCGTGCGCTTCAGGTTGTACTCGATGGCCTGCGTGATGGACCAGTAGCGGTCCAGGCTGATGGCGCACAGGTGCACGATGGACGAAGTGCAGAAAAGCACGTCGAGCGCCAGGTAAATCTCGCACCACGCCTTGCCGAAGTACCAGTAGCCCATGACCTCGTTGGCCAAGGAGAAGGGGATGACGAGTGTGGCCACCAGGATGTCAGCCGAGGCCAGCGATACAAGGAAGAGGTTCTGGGGCGCCTTGAGCGCACGGCTTGTAAACACAGCGATGATGACCAGCACGTTGCCAAACACGGTGAGCAGCATGAGTAGGCCTGCTAGGCACACCAGCGTCAGCGTCACCTGCAGGGAGTAGGGGGTGGTCCGGGCGCCGCCCCCCGGCGCCTCAGTCCCATTCCAGCTCGCGTTGCCTGAGTCCGGCTGCAGGGAGCCCATGGGCGCGAAGCTGCCCTCGGCCAGCGGCTGCTCCTGACGGAACATGAACGCGGCGCCGCTCGCTTGGGCCTGCTGCCAGCTGCCTTCCGGCCGACGGCCGTAGGTCCTCCTCTTCCTCCCGCTCCCGGCTCGCCCCACCGCGCTCACATGGGGAGGGGTCGGTAGGGGGGACAGGCCGAAGCGGGGAAGCCTAGCGGTCCATGGCCCGGCTCCCGCGAAGAGCACTTGGGCGGCACCTTCTCTCTCCCGGCTCCTAAACAAGCCAAGTTTTATTCTAAGCGGCGGGACAGAGTAACGCGGATCGGTGGGGGTACAAGGGTTTTATTCTTCAAGAAGGAAGAACAAAAATCAACGGTGGTCTGATGACTTGGAAGGATGACAGGAAATTTTATGTATCTATACCTCTCTGTCTTGACTCCTGAGCCTGAGCGAAAGCGAGAGGTCTTACCGTGTGCGGGCCCGCCCCCACCCTGGGAGCAGCCGAGGGTGCTGGCTCGGGCTTGGGTCCTAGGGCTGTCTGCTTACATTCCCGGCTCGATTACGGACTCTCGTCTCCCCTAGACGCGGCGGGGCTGGCCGGGCCAAGGTGCGGACTCGGCTGCCTCTCGGAGCGCCGCGGGACTTCCCAAGTTGCGCGCCTGCTGGGGCCGGGGCGCAGCGCGCGGAGCTCCGGGGTGGCGGCGGCGAGTGGTTCGGGGTGTGGGGGCCGCATGAAGGCACTCCGTCCGCGGACGGACTGAGTCGGGCGGGCGGTCCTCCAGTAGCCGCGGCCGAGCAAGGGGCCTCCTGGGCGTCAGCACGCTCTCCGCGGACGCGAAGCGCTACCGGGCGGCCCGGGATCCAAGGGTGGCGAGCGTTGGGGCGAGAGCGACGGGCTAGGGGAAAGACGCTAGGGAGGCCGGGCGGCGCGCCGGCGGCTAGGCGTCTGCACCGATCAGAGTCGCTGCTGCTCAGCTGCTCTCGCGGTGGACTAGCTTTATAGCCCCAGGATCAAGCCGGCGTTGCCGAGCAGCGGCGTCAGCCCCCACGTGGGAAGCCGACCCTCCCCCGCCCCTCGCACCGCCCCACCGCCGCCTTGCGCCTGTACCCCGGGCGGGACCCTGGCAGCGCTGCGTCTCGGCGGGACGGCCCTTTGCAGAGGCGTAACCTGGAGAAGGGAGTGGGAGCGGCCCCAGCAGGGAGCTGACCAAGAACCCCCGAGGCCGGCCCAACCGACCAACGAGCGCCCGGCAATCGCTCCTGGAGCTGGGTCTTGGGAGAAGGGCGTGTAGAGAATGCCCCCTCCCCCCTGCGGCGTGAACCGCGAGGCGCTGCCCACGGGATCGGCCGCTTCGGAGCAACCTAGCCCTGGGCCAGCCGCCTCCGTCCGCCGGAGCACTTGGCGGCGGGGCTACGCGGGGTCCTTACACTACGCGGATTCGGAATGAGCCCCTGAGGCGGAACGGGCAATACATCCGCGGGAGAAGTCAGACCAGACTTGGCAGCTCCGCTTGGGGGGAAAGGCGGCGATCAGTCGGCACACAGCTTTCTGAGGGCCAAGCGCGGCTGGGGGTCTGGGGCGCGCCCGCTCAGACCGTGGTGGGGAGGGGTCCAGCAGGCGGAGAACGCGCTCCGCGACAGAGCGAGGGCGCACTGACACCTGCTGGTAGCTCGCAGTCACGGCTGGAAGAGACGTGCTGGCGCTGGGCACCTCCTTCAGCCTCTGCGGTTCTCCGGCCCCTTCGCGTTTTCCTATCTCAACACAAGTTTGGGTCCAAGCTTGGGAAAGAAGAACACAGATTTTAAGATGCACTCTGTCTTGTTGCAGAAATCTTCCTGAAATATGTATCCTGTGTGTCTGTCTTCGGCTTAGTAGAGTCACATCACAGCCCCAAGAGAAGGGATACTGCCTCTCCTCAACTTTGCCCAACACTGGCCTTCTAGGAAACGTGAAGTCTTAGTTGAGGCACAAAAGCTTGACCCCTATCCCCATTTCAGAGACACACCATCTTTCAGTAGCAAAGGAAAGAGTATTTTCTAAGTTGTTTCTGATAGGAATCGCATGGGATCGGATGTATGCCAAGTATTTGTGAGCATGTTATATGTCCAAAGATGGTTAACAGCTGTTAGAATAGCAGATTAATCTGTGGCATCTGCAGTTTTCAGATGAGCAGGCAGGCAGTTCAAGGTTAAGGCCCACGAGGATACGAAATGTCAGCAGGAAAGAGATTAGGCCTCAAGAAAAACTTGTCTTATTTAACTAACAAGCCAAAATATGTAATTTACGTTATCACCTAAACTGGTAGTTCTAAGAATTGAACAAAGCACGTCTCTGCTTGCCGGGTGCACGCTCAGGACTGGCTGGGGTTGAGAACTAAATTAAAGACCTTGGGTATCACCTTTAGGCCCAGCCTAAGTTCACAGCCTCCATGAATGATGCTTGATGCTGCCGCATTTGAGGAAAGATAGTCTCAAGATCTTTTCTCCCAGTTTTTGATCCAGTTTGCTGATCTCCCCTTCCAGTCTTGATTCTGAGAGCTCTTTTCATTCTCTTTTCTGGGAAATCTCAAGAAATTTGAAAACGTAGAAGGTCCTCCCTCTGATGAGGCCATCATTTCCCACCTTCTAGTGGGATCTCTGCCTGGGGACTAACGGCAAGTAAGTTCAACTGGAAATGTGACTCGCTCATTTTTGCACAGTAACCAGAAGTGCCAAACAAGTATGAAGCTTGTTGTTGTTGTTAAGTGCTGTCGAGTCAGTTCCAACTCATAGCTACCCTGTACAGGATTGCTGAGGTGCCACTGGTGGGTTTGAACTGCTGACCTTGTGGTTCACAATCCAGTGCTGATCCTACAGCGCTCACTACACCAAGTAAGGGTACACAAACAGGACACAAAACTACAGCACTCTAGGGTCCAACTTGTTGTGAATAGAATTTGAGTTTGGGTAAACCCTCACTGCTCCATCTCTTACACCAGCAGCTGTCAGAAGCAACAAAGGAAATAAAAACAAAAACCTTGAAGCTTTGCACTCTTGAAAACTCTACTGCTAACCTGGGTGTGACACCTCATGTCGCATTTTCTAAACGTGTTCCAAACAACCAGCTGAGAGTTCTTCATTCCTGGGTTTGCAGCCTTTTCTCCTGGTATGTCGACAGGTCTTTCCAGGAGCTAGGGGCCCTGAGGTCAATACACAGTGATTAATAACAGTACTATTAGCTGCCTTTTGTTCAGTAGTTAGCATGTATCATGTTGTTTTTAGTCATCATCTAGTTGATTAAGAATCATAGTGACCCCATATGTACAGAGTAGACCAGACCGGTTCCAAAGATCAAAGCAGTTGCCTTTTGGAAGCAGATCACCAGGTCTTTCTTCCAAGGTGCCTCTAGATGGGTTCTGACTACTGACTTCGGTGGCTAGTAATTAAGCATGTAACGGTTTCTACTGCCTATATGTGCCATGTTGCTGCAAGTGCTGCCAAGTTGGTTCCGACTCACTTCAACCCTGTATAGTGTTTCCAGGGAGCAGCTGGTAAGTTTGAACCACCGACCTCGTGGTTCAAACCAACCTTTCAGTTCAGTGCTTTATCGCAGAGCACCATACCAGATCTCCATGTCATAAGCAGGGTTATATTCAGAGCCCATTTGTATGCAGACTTTTTCCTCTTGTCATATATGCCTTATCACCAGGGGCTCTGCCTCCTTCGTTTGACACTCAGGGTTAGTATTTCTGAACTTTAAGAAGTATCATGAGTGCCATTATTTTCTGCTGGAAGATTTAGTGCTGTTCTAACATTGAGGCAAATGTCCTCCTGAACAAGGAGATGTCCACCAGGACAGCAATTCCTGAGCAGGTCTCTATATCAGTCAGTACTGCGTGAGAAAGTAAAATACACTCAGCCATGCCCACCAGGGGAAATTAGGATTAATTAAGTCTGCAGTGGGATCCAGCAGGTGTGTTTTAACAAAGCTCTTGGCTCGATGCTGAGATGCACACTCTGCTTACAACTCATAGGGCGGAGGGGCAGGGAAGGAGCAATGAACATGTGCCTTGGTGAGGTCACGCCGTGCCCAAATTACCTGGGCATATCTAGCCAGCCTGAGCTAGAAAGAGTGGGCCCCACCTTGAGAACCATTGCCCTCGTGGGTCAGCAGGACTGCTGGGAGGATACCATTGCTCTCCTGGGAGCTGGGGCAAAAAGAGCAGTTGAGAACAACTTGAAAGTTGGGTTTGATGTTCTGAGAATAACTGGGCACACATCTGGGGTTCCATGATTATGGTGACAGTAAGAAGAAACTATTTGACGGTACTGACCACATGCTGGGCACAATGCTGAGCTGTTTGTGTACGGTAAGAGTTAGGTAATTCCCAAAGCAACCCTCAATGTAGATATTGTCACCTGACTTTGCAAATGGGAAGAACAGGCTTAAGAACAGTATGGTCTGTTTTCTAGCAGATAAGTGGCAGGGATAGACTGTAGCCCTGATGAACTGTCTAACTCCCTCTCTCCTTACGGGGTCTCGGCACCTCACCCAGCTGTCACCACTGACAAAGGGGGCCTTGCAGGAACCTCACCAGAAAGGAGAGTGTTGACAGTTGGCAAATCCCTCTGGCATCCCCTTCCTCCCACCCCTTCATGGCCGTTAGCACAGGAGAAGAGCGGAAGGCAAAGACATCTCTGTCTGAGCGTCGGGCACACTCTGCACATACCGCAACAGTCCCCAGTGATGAGCCCGGTGGGAGCAGGCCCTACGCTAGCTGGTAACACAGCTCTGGGGTTGCTGGGCTCCCCCTGGTAGAAGCAACTGCTCTCACTCACGGGGGTGTATATACCAGCAAGCTTTAAGACGTTTGTGGGAAATGTTATGAAAAGATCATGGAATTTTCCATGAACTCTTTGAAGTCCCCTCATATTTCTACCAATGCTCCATTGAAACCTTGCTGCACTTGCATAACTGTTCATTTGTCTAATCAGGGAAAAGGACTCTCCTGTTTGTCTTTGTATTCCCAGGGCATACCTCAAATGGGCATTTAAAAAAATCAAATTCCTGGGACCTTACCCAGGATCGGGCAGTGTTTTGTTCTGCTGTTCATAAAGTCGACTCAAAGGCACCCAACAACAACAACCCCTTGGAAATCCTGGCATAAGAGTACTTGCATTTTTAGTAAATACCAAAACGTAAACTGGACTGGCATAGATGCTTGATAAATGTTTGTGA